TAGTTAACAATGACATTATTGTTCTCTTAATATAAAGGGAGGTAGGTACTCTTTAAAACAGCTGCTAGTTATGGGTACTTTTTACTTAAGCACATTTCGAAGCCCATACTTCTTTACTTTTACTTCAGTAAAGAAGTTTAGTCAGTACTTCTACTTTTACCAGAGTATGTTTAAACACAAGATATGTACTTCTACTTGAGTAAAGGATGCGTGTACTTTTGCCATCTCTGGTCATTCCCAAAATCACATGTTGTAATTTACTCTGCAGAGCAAACAGACACATCAAAAAGAAAAAGCAGACCATTCCTTTCCTTCCTTTAGTCAAATCACGTAGTAACCGCAGTAAGTCATAAGTTATTTCATTAACTAAGATGGTCCATCTGTCTTAACAAGATGTGATCCATTTGGTTTGTACTCTAGATGAACTCGTGGCACAGTGTGAGATCCTCGTGTGGGTTGGGAAGGCAGACGCAAGGACACTCAGCAGATGGACCCCACTTCAGGGCGACTGGTGGGGGGGGAAATAGGAGGTCCAGCAGGCTCTAAGACCCCAAATTTCCCTGGCATTGGCCTCCATCTCTCACACACAACCCACGCACACTCACAACGCCTTGTCTTGATGACAAAAGTGAGAAACTTCACACTATCTCAGTGGATGCAAGACAGGTGGTGAGGAGGATGGAGGGAGGTGGGAAGAGAAAGGAGGGAAAAAGGAGCAGATGAAGTGAAGGAGATGCTTGAATGCAAAATCGTCTTGGCATTGATATAAAGCTGGCCGTGCGTAACTGTTCTCTGGCCTTACTGCTGATCGACGCGCTGGCACAACTTCAACTCGCTCCCCAAAGGTGAGACAGCAGACGCTCAGACCAGGTGGAGCAGTGATATTGGTGTCAGACATCCCACTTGGAATTAAAGTTAGGAGGGAGACTGTGTGTGACTTTCTCTTGTTGGCTGACACCACATTCTTCAGTTCGGAGCTGCCACCGCTCTCTCTGTTACAGCTGTTCAGCTGCAAGTTTATATCCAAAGTGTTTTTCCAAAGGGGTACGTCTGCACTTATTAAAATATGCTTTTAGCAAAGACCGGCCTACAGAGTGCATGCAAAATCATTATTCCATACATACTATTCAGTGTTTCCCACAGATCTGAAATATACTTGGGGGGCTGGTGGTAGCGGGGGCGGGGGGCCCTCATAGCCCTATAGTTTACATCTACTACCCACATATAAACATATGGACATGGGTTACTTTTAAAAAAAAAATGGTAAATGTATTTAGGAACCTATCAATGTGATTTTAGGTGGGGGTGGACTCAATAAGATTTTTTTTTAAATGTTGCAGTTAAATGCATCAATCTGGTGCCTTTTGAGGGGGAAATAAAGAGACTAGATCTATGGGAACACCTATATGAAACAGAACTGTATACATTTCAATAATCATAAAATCATGGCCATAACCAATAACATACCATTTCTAATACGAAAAACACTGAAACTTGTTTATTTTTTATTTTTGGTTCATTTATAGTTGTGAGTGTGTCTGTGCTCCTGAATCAGCCTCTCCTCCTCTCCCCCTGCTCCTCTTTGAGGCAGCAGCAAAGACTAGTTTTAGCTCTCAACAAGTTTTAAAAGTGTATCTTGCCTTTTTTCACCTAGTTAACTTTTTATTTATTTATTCATGCATATTTGACTAATCACTACCCTCCCCAATGGAAATATGTGGTTTACATAAATGGTGACCAACCGTTTGAGTACCACCTGAGACTAGACTAAGTTGAACTATCTAAACACTCAGGGAGTCCTTTACCTCACCTGAGCCTGGGTTTATCCCGAGCTTGAATGACACACAGAGACCAATCAAAGGGCTTTGATTTAAGTGATCTGTATGACAGTGGCCATGTCGGCAGGCCACTCATTGTAGACAGCCAGTCCCCCTGTGGTGAGGCAGGCACTTAACAGGCCATGGCCATTGGGAAACCCGGTCTCCCGATGGCCAGTCCGGGACTGGGTATAGGAGGCGTAGAGTGAAGGATCATTGTCCACAAGTTAATCGATGCAGATGGCGTCGTGGTCCACAACGGACCAAAAAAAAAAAACTAAACAGGTCGCGAAATATACTCGTGGGCGGCCGCCCAGTATAGTCTATTGTGGGGAAACCTTATGTAACTGGTTGAAAAACACTATCTAAAAGTAGCCCTGAAAGTTGTTAACTTAAGTTGACTGGACAAATGGGTAAACATAGTAAGCTAAAAGAAACACTTTTTTTTAAAAATCGTTAGCTTACTGTGAATGCAATAAAGTAATTAAAAATGAACCAATTAAATGATAACATATTAGATATAAAACAAGTGTCAATGACTGTTCCCAAATGAACTTAATAATGTGGGGGGGTAGGTATTTTTGGAGAAACCAGCTCAAAGTGCGGCTAGAATTTGAAAATACACAACCGGAGAAAATCTGCCACTTCCTTACAGAGCCCTCCTCCCATACACAACTGAGAGCGAACGCCACATGAGACAATGAGGCACGAGATTTTGGATTTTACTAGGCTTTGTCCACAGCATGGAAGGCTGACAGGCAGGTAGTGCCATCCAGTTTACTTTAAGCGGCTGGGTAACCAATGATTGGTTCTGCTTTTTACAGTACTAGCGGCTTCCAACCAGATTACATTTTTTAATGGATTTGGTTGGTCAAAGGGCACTTAAGAATTCATTGCCCATTCGGGATGTTAAGAGCATTCGCATGGAAATATAGACAAAAGTGTATCTCGAGCCGGTTTCTCAAACTTACCTACCCCAACCTTAAGATAAAAGAGATATCTGACTACCTAAAGTAATGTTAAAAGCAGTTAAAAATTGGTTAGCAAGCCTGGTATGGGTAAAAGGTTAGTTTGCCCCTACCTAAAAGTTCATAGATAAACTTTCTAAAAGTGACGCAGAAAGTAACCTGGATAATCAGTTAGACTTATAACGCTGAGGGCCTATACAATAACATCATAATAATAGTATTTTATTTTTAATTTTAGTAATAATTAAATGATATGGGTACAATTCGGGTTAGGGTAGTAAGGCGCAAAAGTTGCAAAAAAGGTTAAAATATGTTAGTAATTTGAAAACGTGGCCATAACTAGCCTTTTATCATTGTCCTACAGGCATTGCTTTAAGTAAATCATCAGTGTTACGATACACTTTATTGTCCTGATCAGTTCTGGAAATTTGTCCTTCTGCGGAAGCTTTAATAACGCAGTCTTAACGAAAATCAGTAAGTATGTTGACCTGATTTTTAGGAGATACA